CCTTGCTGCCTGTGCTCCCTCTGTTGTTATCCTCTGAAGGCTCAGTATGACCCCCAAACACACCAGACACACTTTGTTGTTATTTTCAATATATAATATCCATTCAGGGATTACTTGATGCTTCTCAGTGTTTATTCTCCTTCTCGCCTACGCAGTTTTCGCTAAATGCAAGACAAATTGAGCATTTTCAGAGCTGGCACTTCAGTGGAAGCGTTTGTCAGCATCACGCCCCATGCAATAGCATTTGAAAGTTAACATGCCGTGTTTCTGCGCGAACACTGTGATAAGTTTGTGGCTTATTTTATGAAGAGCAGTAACTCACATCGAAGAAGAAGTATTTAAAGGGGAAATGATGGCTACAATAAGTGTTAGAGGGACATGAGGACGGCAGGAAGGGAATGCTTGAAATGGAAGAGGGATGATGTTTCCTGCCCAGTTAGTCTTTGAGATGCAGCTTCATGCTCCTTTAGTGTGATATGCGTCATTGATCTCTTATTTCAGAGCTCCAGTCAGACTCTTCCAATGTTTTTCAGTGGCTCACTCAATGGTAATGTCCTCTTTTTCTCTCTCTTTCTGTCTCGAGCTGCAGACCAACCTCTTATCACTGCACAATCATCTCCATACAGAATTTAGGCATTATTTGTGATTGTAGATAAGTAAAATCATCATGTTCGTGTAAACAAAAACAGAAAAAAAAATCTCTGTCGTGTTTTTGTTGTTGTTTTTTTCATCTTGTGGCACCTGTGTGAACCAGCACTGCTGTTTGTAATCAGATAGAATGCTTTACCGGACACCTGCATAGGTAAGGTCGGGGTCTGCAGAGGTGAGAACTGCTTCAGTGTTTGCCATTTATCACCACCACAGTGGGGAAGGAGGAAACCTGCTGTGAATGCAGAGCTCTATTATACAATGCTGGTCTCTTGATGTTTCTAGAGATAAACATAATGCTTGGGGCCAAGTGCGCCTTCCGTCATTATTTAGAGGACTTTGAATTGGAATTCCTTTCCTGTAGGCTGACTGGGATTACTTAGTAAACGCGATGTTTACAAACAAACGCTCATGTTTTAAGGGGCTGGATGAAGGCATTTATGAATATTGCATTCAATATTTATGCTGCTCCTTTTTTTGGCTTCTCCAGCTTGACCGAACTTAGCCAATACCTTTCTACAAAACATATGTGAAACATTCAGAGCTGCTGTCACTTTTTGTCTGGCAGAAAAAGTTTTTGACAGTAAGGATTTTTATGCTTTATTTCATATAAAATAAAGCCCCTCTTTTTCACATGTATGAAATAAAATAATAAAAGTCACTGTCTGTTGTGAAAATGTGACAAAAAAAAAAAAAAAATCAAGTTACTTTTTCCAGTGGAGCTTTTGCAGCACATTTGTTTTTCTAAAAAGGTTTTGCAATGAATCTTTTTGTTATTTTTGCTCCACTTTCTGGTGCTCTCTAGGCAAATTTGAAGTATTTTAGCATTTTCAGTTTTTGTTGACAAAAATAGATGAATTACTTAAAAAATGTGCAGACAAAACCAAGCAAAAGATCTAATGGTAAATGGGATCTTGACGAGTGGAAGAGGTTTAACATAATATCTGAATATGGAGTGAACGAGGACTATTTTAAGATGCTTATTACACAACTTGTTGACGTCTTCCAATGTAATAATGCGTGTGCCTAATTGATTTACTGTACAAATTAGACAAATAATCTGAAGGTCTCAAAGAATTAAGAAGAGTTTATTTCAAGGTAAAACTACAGTAAATGTTTTTAGACAGAGTAGTCTGCAGATCTTTATGTCTCCCTTTTCAACTTCTTGTCACTTGTATCAAAAGGACACATTTGACTGGCTTGTAAACACCCCATTTCAAAGTTCTTTCCTGTCTCAAGTGGTACTGCAGAACAGGAACAATATATCCTTCAAATTCTGACAACATCTGTTTTCAAAAAAGAGAAAAGGGGGCATTTCATGAACATCTCTTACAAAGTGACATGCTTTCATCCCAGCCACATCCTCCCTTGGCATGTCACTGTATCTTTCTTGGCTTTTTTTGCCCTCTTTTTTTTATTTTTTATTTTTTTTGCTTTCGGCAGGAAAAGACAGGAGACATGAAACATTTCCCCCTCTTTTTTATTTTTATTTTTTATTTTTTCTTTATCTTGACAAGACTTGTGAAGACAAGTCAGAAAAAGGAGGTGTGCCATTTTTCTCTAACCACTAACCAACAAAATAGAACAGCTTCTTCGCACTGGAGCTATCACCTTCCCCTCAAAGGCCCCAGCAGCACCAGCAGCTTCTTTGATACGACTGAAATGAAGGTTGTGAAGGGGCATCAATAGAAGACTGTATATTGTACTACATGCTCAAGCTGCTAGTGTGCACTCAGTATCTTCTCTTTCAAAGATACAAATTTCCCCCGCTCCCTCTTCTCTTTGATTGTTATTATATCTTGTTATGTGAATCTGAGTGATTTTGGGGGCAATTTAGCTTTTCTCTGTAAAAAAGATTTTGATAACATCACTCAGCTGCTGTCTGCTCACTTAAAGCCTTTTGCTCACACTTCCTGGTAATAGGCTTGTCTGAGACACAAAAGGCTATACTTGACATCTACCTTGTGATGTCAGTAGCTGGTGGCAGGTTGATGGACAGCCCAGAATGGCAGAGTTGCCCCATTTCTAGTTAATTAGCTCATAGGAGGAAATGAATGCAACAGCGCTTATCAAACAAATTCAAATCCCTTGCAGATACAATGATAGACAGGCTTTTTTTTGTTGCACCACAGTGACCTTCTAGGCAGGAATGTTATCAAGATTTGGAGCCAGTTTAACAGACACAATAAATACATATGGAATCAAACGTTTAGGCCCTGAAAGATGTATGTGATTGTATAAAATCAAATTTGATAAAACTGTAATGGTATGCTGCACATTGTGAAGAAATGAATATAGCAAATGTTTATGTCCTGCAGCCAACATGTCTAGTAAAAAGATTATAAGAACAGAATGGGACCCAGCATTAAACAGCTCAGCTTCTTCCAAAAGCCAGAGCCAGGCAACCCTGAAAAAAGCTGCCAATGCAACACACAGTAAGCAAAAATTCAGGTTTGTAATGGGAAGAATTTCTTTTTAGCTTTCCATATTCAGAACACATAAACACATCAGAGCACACCTCGCTTGGGGGAGGTGACAGGGGCTGCAAAAGAGAGAGTGTGTAGTGGCATAGAATTACCATGAATAATTAAAAGACTGGTGTGAGCATTCTCGTAGCTCTTTGATTGACTCTGAAAGCCCCAGGAAGAAATTGGCAGATGAGAGCAAACTGCAAAATGGCTAGCTCTGTGCACTGAGCTCCCTGCCTAAGATTTGCTCGTCTAAAACCTTGAATCAGCAGTGTGCTAGGAGGCTCTTTTCATGTCTTCTTGCTCCAGAATGGAATTGAAATTTTGCTAATCAAAAAAGAAAAAATAAGGGGAAAAAATTAGACAAATTTCAAGAAGTGCTGTCGATGTGTTTACTTTGCTTAGATTGTAGAGTCATTATGTCAGTTACCAACTTGTTGAAGGGAGTGTTTCCCAGCACATATTTACTATTTATTTTTTGAGTTTGTCAAATTTGTAGCATGTAGTTATATGGGAGATTATTAAATAAGAGAGTCTGGGTGACATATGTCACTGTTGGTGAGAGTGACTCACAAGGTGTCATTGGCAAATTTGCTGAGATCGCAAGTAAGAGAGGTCAACAGGGACTGGGGCTTGGCAGCAGACCCTCAACTTCCCAAAGTGTCCGGATGTGGGTGGCATCCCATTACTCATCCATATCATTTTGCCAAGCCAGCACCAGTGTCCTTAGAAACATGACATGGAGGCCGTTTAGTTATGTCTAAGCTACAGGTGACTGCTTCCTTGTTGTTTTGTAATGCTGTTTTATTATCCAAAATTATCTGATGTTAATAATCCATTTTATGCCGAACCTTCATGGTCACTGCTTCTTTGAGGATTTACCACTCTTTGTGAATTGTTGTCACACATTGTATGATAAAAAGGACCGAACACCTCACATACACAATATGCTGACAACTCTCTGTCAGCATGTTGCCATGCACTGAAAAAAATAAGTCATTGGATGAACATAAAAAAATTATGGAAAGGATTTCCACCTGATTACTTTGCTTTATTTCAGCACCATGTACTTGTGTTACTCCTATTTAAAGCAAATGTGTTAGGTCAACCTAATTTATTAAGATTATTCCAATGTAAAGCAAATGTGTTGGCTCAACTTGTTACAATGGTGATTCAATGGGTGATTCTAAATCAAACATGTTGGCTCAACGTAATATATTGTGGTTATTCTTATATAAATAAAATGAGTTGGCAAAACATAATTCATTAAGGTTGTTCTAATTTAAACCAAATATGTTGGCTTAACCAGAATTATGGTAATGCAATGGATGATTGTAAATCAAATGAGTTGGCTCTACTCCATTCATTAAGGTTATTCAAATTCAAATGAAATGTGTTGGCTCAACATATGTTTTAAAGGTTCCTTTAACTCAGTTACTATAGCGTGACCCAGTGTAATGCAATACAGCCCGCCCAACTAATCTGCAATGTTTAGGACCAAATCATTGATGTAACTTCATTAAGATGAATGTAAATCTAGTTGAAACCACCTTATTTTACAGTGGTACCTTCACACTACCTGATTCAGTAGGTCCAACTCACTAAAAGCAAGTTAGCTCAACAAATATGCTTCATGCTAAAAGACAGCTAGTTAATCATGTGAAAATCCTTTCCATTATTTCATGACGTTAATTCAAAGACATATTTTCAAGCGTTAATCAAGCATTTTAAGATAGCACTAGGTGAAAGTGTAGGAAGAACACTCAACAATTAGAAAAGGTACAACACAATTGTATTTTCAGAATTGTTATACATCGTTTTTTTACACAGCACAAAACACAGCCGAGTTGGACATTGAAATAAAAAACAACTAAAAAGGTTACAGTTTCATTTCCCAGCCAATTCTTTACAACATAAAACATGTCAGTATAGTTGCTCAACTTAGAGAACTGTAACAATATAAATCTTTTCTACTGCAGACTTTAAACACTCATTTTCCATATGAAACTTTACTCAACTTAGCAGCGAGTTTCATATTGAGAACTTGTGCTTTCTTTGATAAGTTCTTTCCATCCAATTTCATTATTATTTTCTGTATTACTTCAAAGGTATGCTTGAGTTACTGAGCAAGTTGAGTGCTGAACGCACTAAACTTGAGGGTAGCTCAAGTTTAGTGCGTAGATTAGTCCCAGCAGCATCACTATTGCAGAAGATACACTGCCCAAGCTGTTCATAACTTCCACCTCCTCCAGGACAATCCCAACATCCAGATGTGCATCGGCACCCTCTGCTCAAATGACGATTCCGAGGACAGTCTCGGCTTTGGCCATTTCATTCATCAACGTCCTAAGGGAGTTAGGGAAGGGTATTGGGGGGGAGACAATTCACATGTAATTAAATAAATAAATTAAGACTGACATTGATTGAGTCACTCATGGACCTTAGTTGGTGAAAGTATTTTAACAACTCTTAGGAGTTCTATTGTAAACACAAAGAGAATTTAACATACCATGTACTCCCTCACCAGCTTCTCTGGATCTTCATTTAGGTACACACAGACCTTTGAGGATGCACTCTCGTCTGACCTCAGCAGTGTCTTCCTAAATATGCAGATCAAAAAACAATGAGAACAATCTCAAAACTCCAGCAGTATAGGTTCACACACTTGAAAACATAGCTACATTCAAAGGAAGTCACAACAAAAGTGATCAGTGGCTTGCAGTCTATTTGAAAGATATTTAAAATTGTTAGTATCCCTTCATTATGCCATGACTAAAATGGAGTTTAACATCTCATTTAAACATCTAACTGAAGCTGTTGGATGTTTAAATAAAGACATGAATATATCACCAAAGAAATATGTGAAAAGTACAGAATGGTCAACACAGTCTATATCCTTCTACTTAAATGAATATGCAAAGCATTCCATGTCTTACAAGTACATGGACAGTCTATGTGTGGGCATGGATAACGTCGCATATGCCGGTGTTTAAGTGTAAAATGTTTTAACAGGTCATATCTACGAGACAGAGAGAGACTACACTCCTTACATTTCCACATCCCCACGCAAATAAAGACAAATAAAACAGACTGGCCAAATAAATGTTTAGCTGAACTCTAGCTTTATAAGCACTCTAACACTACATTCAGTCACTTTAGATCTGGCAAAACTTACTATTAGCCACTGAAATCTATAACTTGATAGCCGATGAGCCCCTTGACCAGTACTTACGCAGGTGGATTACAGACAGGTGATCAGGTGATGTTCTGAAAGAGATCAGATATATTTTCAGCCATTAAAATATGCAATTCATACTGAACTGAGTTTTATCTTTTAGTACAAGTCCCTTGAATGCCTCATGAATATAACCACTGGACACTTGTATGCAAGCACATATGTGCAGAACAATGGTGAATTGAACATGGTAGAAAGCAATAGTAACATAGTTCAAAATGAGCACAAACAATCAACACAAAAAAACATCAACATTTCAAAATTAAACCAATGAACTTCAATATTGTTTCTGAGCTACAATTATTTGGGGACAACAAAGAAGAGTCCAAAAAACCCCAACATCTTTACAGCAGAGGAATATGTATTTTAAAGAAAAAAAATAGAAAGCTCAAGTCTGTAATAACGGATAATCCATTGAGAGTTTTAGCCTGACAAAATATACTAGAAATCCATAACTAACAGGTATTTTAGGAACATTTAACAAAGCTCAGAAAGCAATGCTTTCTGCAGGTTTCACCGACTGAAATGTAGGACTTTTTATTACCATAATTAATTAAGAATCTCGATGATGATAGAAAGGTACCAAAGTGTGTGTGTGTATCTACATTTACCTCCATAGTAACATTACTGAAATAGAATTAAAATAGTTAGAAATAGACTGATGTTAGATCCGTGTGTTAAAAATCCACTAAACCTCCAGGGAGCTCAGGAGGAGCAAAACTGTGACATTTCTGGGGTCCATTTGTGTCTCTGGCAGCAGCTTTGTGACCCTTACACTACATATGGCTCTGCAGAGTTTTTTCGCACAGAATGTACCTAACATGGTGCGGCGATAAATGTAAACAAAAAGCTATCTGCCTTAACCTAACCGACTTAATCTACAGAACATGAAATAATGTGACACAAGTATGGAACAAGTAGAAAATGGTGCAAATGGTAGAGAAATTTTAAGTTACATATTTTTATATGGATTTAGATGAAAATAGTTTGACTCTTACCTTCTTCAAATTAAGTAGATGCACGCCAGGAATCTCCCCTCTGCCCTTGAAAAAACCCAACAAGGTGCAAGCCAGTTATCTCGCGTGATTTTCCGTAATCTCTTGATGTCGCTGGATCCTCTTCAGCGGGAGATGAGTCTGACACAATAGCGCTTTGGAACTGACGTCACTGTGTTTTTTTTTTATTAGATTAACTTTGACAAATATTGATATTGAATAAAATAAAAAAAACATATATATATATATATATATATATATATATATATATATATATATATATATATCTATATATCTATATCTATATCTATCTATCTATATATATATGTATATATATATTATATACATATATTTTTCCAATGTATATATATATATATGTATATATATATAGATAGATAGATATAGATATAGATATATAGATATTATATATATATATATATATATATATATATATATATATATATATATATATATATATATATAGATATAGATATATATAGATATAGATATATAGATATAGATACTGCGCAGTAGGCTCCCAGGCCTCTGGTAGACGCCTGGGAGCTTGAGGAATTAGATGTATTCAAGTTGAGATAACGTCATTCAATCACGTTAGTCCAGTTGAGAGAAAAAACCGATTGTCTCGCGTGTTCTCGCGTGATATCCCGTGATCTCACTCGTTGTCGTCAGCACAATATCAGTCTAACTATAATGAATCATGTTAGCTCAACATGATTCAATTTTATAAATGTGAAGTCGTGGAATATCTTGTTTATCCAACATGATTTTATCACGTTTTCGCTTCAAACCCAACATTATTGTGTGAAAGGTACATGATATTTTTTTTGTTAATGTAATACGCCCCGACGTTCTTTTTTTTTTGGCGGAAGATCTAGCTGACGTAATTGAATCACGTTATCTCACCTTGAATACATTTTATTCCATTTGCGAGAAAAACAGATTGTCTCGCGTATTCTCGCGTGATATCCCGTGATTTCCCGTAATCTTGCGTGAACTTGCGTGATATCGCGTGATCTCACTCGTGGTCTTCAGCATAGGATCGGTCTGACTATAATGAATCATGTTCGCTCAACATGATTCAATTTTATAAACGTTGAAGTTGTGGAATATCTTGTTTATGCAACATGAATGTATCATGTTTTTGGCTCAAACACGCAATTATTTAGTTAACAGTACATGATATTCTTTTGTTAATGTGATAACCCCTGAGGTTCCTTTTTTACAGTGTGGTTAGTGCTCAGGTCTAAGGCTGTTTGTGTGGATGCATTCTGTATGCACAGCATGACGGATTGCAGAGCCTAAAAATAGGAGGTTGTAAAAGGCATGTTGTCTTCTAAAAGCAAAAAAATTATATATATATGTAGAAATTCACTCAGCACTCCTAAAATTACTTTAATACAAAATGCATTTAGTTAGTTATTACAGCAAAATTAAAATATGGCTCATATTTCACTGCAGTTATTTGACAACTCAACATCAACTAGATTTAAGAGAACAAATGAAAGGTTACTTTTAGTCACAAAGCTAATAAATAATGAATGTGGTCCAGTAACATTTATTTTGCATTTATTTATTTTTTTGTAAACTTTTGAAAAACAAGGTACACTTTATACATTGCTCCCAATGAATTTATATTATTTTTGTTTAAAGACATTCTCCTTTTTTAGTGGTTTGATTTACATTGAGGTATGATTAGAAGATTTCTCAATAATGAAAATTATACATATACATATATATATATATATATATATATATATATATATATATATATATATATATATATATATATATATATATATATATATATATATGTATATATATATATATATATATATATATATATATATATATATATATATATATATATATAATGTATATATAATGTATATATAATGTATATATATGTAAGTATATATATATATATATATATATATATATATATATATATATATATATATATATATATATATATATATATGTAATGACATCCTCATAAGCGGATGTACATTATCAGTAAGAGTGTGGAAGCTTTGTAGATTGACCTTATGAAATAAGTTTTCTTTTGATTTTTGTCATTTTTAAAATTGAACCAGATATTTAATAAATATTATATTTGCCTTTCTGAAAATACCTCTTAAACTTTTTTTAAATTTTTTATTTTATATTATTGCCCTATAAACATTTTAGTTTTATTATTGGAATTTTATATGAGGCCAACACAAAACAGCTCATAATTACAAAGTGGAAAGAAAATGCGTGGTTTATGCATATCTATATTTTATTTTGGACTATCAGGGTAAAACTGTGATAAATACTAATACACTACCATTTTCCGGTTCTGGTTTTTGATATATAGAACATTGGAGTTTATGGCTTTAAATTACTATAAAATATAACGAGGGCTATGAATGCTTTTGCAAGTAAGTGCAAATAGCTTAAAAGTTTATCTACTGTTGTATGCCCTTTTAAGTTGTAGAAAAATATGAGTACGTATTATGAGGTGTCTGTGAAAGTTTAACAAGAGGAAAGTAAGAACACTGAATTGCTCTCCTTGTTTTCTGCACTGTTCTTTTTAGAAATAACAGATCCAGTTTGACACCTAATCTTCACTGAGCACCAGAAGTGCTAAAGGTTTGCAAAAGGTTTGAAAATGTAGAAGAGCATCACAATTTCTGACACAAGTCAATACACGGTGAAGCAAAGGGTCACTGTGCGTTTATGTGAAAGGTCTCACACAAAATAGCCACACAATTTTCCATGTATACAGCCAGGTTCGCTCAAAGAACATTAAATTCTGAACGTAGCAAAGTTTTCATTGCTGTTGAAATCTTGTATCTGTGGTTCTTTCAACCAAACTCTGAAAGGCTTGACAGAATGATAGAAGTAGACTGTAACACTGTAAGAAGGATGGAAAATTGCTAGATGTCCCTGTCAGTCAAATGTAATTTTTCAACCTGCAATGTCAGATAGTGAGCATTAGTAGCATTGATACAGTGTATGGCCAACTATTTTGTACTTCCCTTCATATTACCCATGACCACAAAAAACCCTCAAGCAAAATACATCTTGAAATTAGTTTTGGGATAATAGTGTGTGTGTATGTGAGGGGGGGAGGGGTTGAAAGAAAGGAGGAAAGATTGAAAGAAAGAAGTAACAAAAAAGAAAGAAAGGGAAAAAAAAGATTGTGGGGTTGCCGGTTAAAGTAATGGTACTGTTAATGGTTCCAGGCTATTTTGTACATCAAAGTACACAGAAAAGAAGAGGGGAAAAATAGACATCTAGGGAGAACGAGGGAGGGGAAAGTCTGCTGCAGGCCATTTGATTGTCATTGTTTCTCTTAGGTCATATGGGAGTGCAGTAGTCTTGTTTTTATTCTTTTTGTTTCACTTCATCTGTTCTCCCTTCTTCTCCAGCAATATTCAACATCACAGTTAAAGATGCCCGGTGACACAAGGCTGTTGCAAGTACAGCAAGTTCACCTTTGTTTTTTCATGGATCAGAAACGAGACACTGCTCTGTGTCCTGGCTCTTTTTGTGTCTCTCTAATGTGCTTTCTCTGACCTACCCGTCTAAGCCTTTCATAATTGTTTTAAAGTAGTCAGTCTTAATCGCTTCATCCCTCTTCAAATCTCCTCATATCTATTCTTTAATCTCCTCAGAGAAATAGTCTGTCTGCATACACAGTTATTCTTAATATAATCGTTATGGATATATGACTTAAATGAGCACATTTATTTTATTATTTTTCTTTATTGGAGCTGCGATTTGATTTGATTATACCTTACTAATCTGGCTAACTCAACATCTGTGCCCCTAGACAGATATCAGCTGCCAGATGCTGGTAATATGTGTTTTCATAAGATTCTGCAAATATCCGTGCCGTCTGGTGAACAAACACTTGTTTTGGCAACAAATTGATGGCCTTTGTTTAAAAAGTTAATGTATTACTTCAACTTTTTTGAGGTTTGGGGATGGAGAGTGGGACTCCAGAGGAGAGGGACTCATCATTTCCATTTCTTATTGAGATTTACCTCCGAATAGGACTTAAATATTTATATGTGGACACTTTTTCAACGCTTAAAACAATATAAGACCATAAAGAGTTTATGTAAAGGGATCAAAAAACCTTGGCAAGGCCTTTGCTCTAAATTAATACCAGTGAACAGAACGATGACTAAGACAAACTGAAACATTTTAACAGAAACCAGTCAATCAGAACTTCTGTGCAAAGGATCTGCAAACACATGCATAGTTTATTCACAAGTGAATAAACTATCAAGAGAAAAGTGGGGAAGTGCATTATAATGTTATTATAAGTTGCTAATTAATGCTAACAATGTATAAAGTGAAGATTAATCAAATATATATTGTTGCTTCACTGTAAGAGTTAAGGCAGTTCTTTATCTGAAAGTCTCAAATGCTATTTACATTATGTTTGCTTTCTATCTCTAGGCATTGCTAAGGTTTTCTTTTGTTGGTTTCAGTGAGAAAGTCAAAATTATACAGGTTTGTCAGGCCATTTTGTAACTATATATATTCTGACAAGCCACCTGCAGGGGGTCCTGAGATTTGGTTGTATGTGGGAAAATGGGGGTCTCTCCAGTAGCTTAAAGCTGCAGTACGTAACTCACAAAGAAATGTTTTTTCATACTTGGTAAACTTGTCACTGTGTTTACTAAGTATATTGTTAATAAATAATTATTTATTAAATGATTATTTATTCTCAATAATAAATTCTTGTGCGTTCTTGTGACAATAATGCTGCAGTTCAAGGGGTGACGAGAGGTCCTTTTTGGCTAAGATTGAAGAATGCTGAGTTTATTCCTAAAGTGAACCTATTTAACAATGTGCTCTGTTCCTCTGCTCTGTCCAGATTTTCTTCCATTTGATCCTTCTGCCTCAAGCGAGGGGTTTGTTTTATCCCTGACCACACGTCTCATTGTTCTGCAGTAGCTTGCTTTCTTGGTTCTTCATGTGTGCCTCAAATTTTGGCTTTAAGGTTTTTTTTTTTTTTGTCTGTGCTCAATAATTCTATGTTCCAATCCCCGAAGGGACTTTTTTTTCTTGTTTTGCCATTCTTTTATGTAATTTTTTTTTTTTTTACTGTGGAAGCATCTTACAGTTCTGGTAGGACGGTGGTTCTACACACTGAAGTT